TCTTTCCCTGTCTTTGTCTCTGTCTCGGTCTCTCTCCTTCTCCTTGTCTCGGTCTCTCTCTTTCTCCTTTTCTTTGGCCTTTTCTTTTTCCTTGACCTTTTCTTTGTCTCTCTTCTTGTCCCTGTGAAAAGCCAAACACAAATCCATTAATTCACCTTTGAATTTTCCAATTAAAATTACAACTAACTCTTTAGCATACATTAATTGCTCAATATAAAGTATGCATCTCTGTTGAAAAATAGTAATTATTCAATATTTTAATTTTCCACCCCCGTTCACTGTGAGGGAAAGGTTATACAGCTAGAAAAAATTTGGAAACCAAATTGGAGAAGGGGAGGCCAAAATCAAATCAAACTGTGATCTTCAGAGTGATGTTATTACACTTTGAGAGAATTTGTCTCTTCACCTCACAATTACGTTATTATACACACATAAATTTTCTACATTTTGTCAGGAGTGACACAAACCCTACAATCTGTAAATCCACTCTTTACTAAAAGTGTGTCCACATAAAATGGACTGCAGATTAACCACCCCCACATGAATAAAGACAGCTGACTGACAGAAGTCTTTATTCTACACTGTTCCCTCACAGAGATATCCTGGAACTGCTTGGAAGTCGAACAACAATTAATACAGAGAAATAGAAAAACAGGGATAAAATTTTACCAAACAAATTCCCTCAAAAGGCAAATGTAAAGTCAAAACTCAATCAAGACAATTCAATCATCTGTAATGTCACCAGGAATTCGAAAATTATTGAAAAATTGTTAATTTTTCAATATAGGATAACAGAAGCAAGGATAACAGAACAAGTCAGCTTCTTTGGGACAGGCAGAATGATACACGTTCATAAAAAGAACAGTGAAGAAAATTCAACTGATGTTCTATTTGTCAAGCCAAACAAAAATTGATTAAATCACAGATTTGGCTGGAAGATTACATTTTGGTATGGGATTATTTGGAAGTGCAAGACTCCATCTTTCCTTTCTAGCAGAGAGACACAACTCCTAGATCTGCCTCTAGGACATATGAAAATGAACAATAGTTCAGAGAAAGAAGCAGGAGAAAGCACAAGAGGAGAAGTTGATTAGCAGGCCTTTACATGTCCAAGAGAACCAGACTGACAGAAGTTGCTCTGTCAGTAGGTACCTGGGATGGTACCTATTCCAGGATTTTTAAAGATTCTCAAAGAGACTCCTTCTCACATGAAAGGTCCTAAGCACAGCCCCCACCTTTCTTCAACAGAAGAAGTGTTTGGCTGTTACCTTCTCAACTGCTCATAAATAGTAGGCTGTTATATGCTGTGTGACCTGACAACTTTGGTTCCCATCAGGTTTTGGCAAATACTCAGAGAAGGAATGTAAGATCATAAAGATGAAACAGCACACAATCCCTGCAATAGCAGAGAGTCTCACAATGACGCAAGAAGTGCCTTCCAGTTAATTTATCACAGAGATTTCATTGGACTTGCCCCTTCCAGTGAGCAGGTATCTCAAGAATCTCCAGACAACAGCAACAGAGAATCAAAAGGATTCATCAATAAAGTCCTGCTAGCTACATAGCCTATTCCTGTTTCCACTGAGGTCCACAGATCTGCAGTTCTCTTTCCCACAAAACTTACTCCCTCAAAAAACAAGAGGCAACTGCACAACCTAAGTATGAAGCTCCCTTTATATACATCAGGGGAATTACAGAAATGAAACAGAAAGAAAAGTACCAAAACTTCTATTCATGAAGCTACTTTCATAGGCACTTTTGGTTTGTGAATATTCACTACTTCATCCCTCAGAAAATTATGTTAGTATCTTTTTGGAATTTCACAGTTCAATAATTAGATGATCAGACTTGAAAATTAATAGACTAGGTAAAATATAGGATTAGATCCTGAAATGCAAATATGCCATAGAACAGACACATGCATTTGTGCCCACAGCAGTGTATGGCCAATATGAGACAGCCAAAGGTGAAAATAAAAGCTCATGCACAAAAACTTTATACATGTTCTCAGAATGTAGGATCAAGTTCAGCCTGAATCCAACCTTCTCAACAGATATAGATCGAACAAGCATCATCCACTTTTTTGTGGGTTGCACAGGCTGCACAGAACATTCCTAATCTATTGGTTAAAGTCTGGCAATTAAAGTTACCTATTTTCAGTCAGCTTGCATGTTGGTATAAATGTAGACTAGACTACCAAAGTTTAGGTAGCTCAGTGTGGTGGTTTAACGCCCATAGGCACCATATGAGCTACCATGAAGAAAATTAACCATACTCCAGCCAAAACCAGTACACTCAGCATTAAAATTTACTTTCTATTCTTTTGTCCCACAGGCAAAGCCTAGGGACAAGCTAAAGCATTTAAAGGCTCCATCCTTTACCATCACCTAAAAAGTTTGTTAGATTTTTTTCAAAAACTCCGTACTGTGTGCTAAGAACAACAGCATCATTTCTTAGGAACGGAACTCACCGAGAACGAGAGCGACTTCTTGATTTCCGCCTTTCCCTAGATCTAGACCGTTTTTTCAGGGGGCTTCTGGATCTGCGTCTGTCCTTGTGTCTTGAGAGTGATCTGTTGCCAGATCTACTTCTATATGAACAATGCCAGAAGAAACATATTTTAATATTGAAACTTCATAAAAATTAGGTCAACCAACAAAGGAAAAAGAACATAAATCTTGTCTCACTACATAAAATTATATAAAGACTTACACCTCAGTAACATACTGCCTACAAACATTTTTGCAAATATGGATACTTTATCCTTCACCAGGTGCACATGCCCTCCTTTGAAACAATGGACCATTTAAGTAATACCCATGTTTCATAATAACCTCCATAAACGTTTTGGAAAAATGTAAATTCATATTATATTAGGATAGCTGTCCTTAGAAAATTACAGTGCATAAAATCTACTATAGACAATTTCTAGCAGCTTGTAAAAATGATTAGTTACATTTTGTTTCTTCTCCAGGCTCAGTCGCTTATTGCAGTCTTTGTCACTAAAGATAAATGGTTTTAACTGGTCTCTTTTTGCTTTGTTCTCAAGCCTTACAATTGAAATGAACTTTAAAAAACCAAACCAAACCAAAAAAACCACCACTATCTGTGGTTCAGCATTTAGTCAAATTACCTTTTCAGTCGAAAGGATTTGTTAGCATGGATTTCAATTACAAGAATTCTCAAGGAAAGGAATGAGCATTTACTACATGATAACTAAGGAATGCAAATAATGTGCAGATACTCCGAGAAAAATTCAGTTAAAGTCTTCTGATAAACATATGTAGTATAGTCGCAGATCTGATGAAGAAAATAAGACTTTTAAAAATTACTATATTCTTTTTATCCAAAATAGTCCCTATTTTTGGAAGGTCATATTCCCTAGAAAAGCAAAAATAAAAAGCTGAATTTGAACATTAAGTTTCAAAAAACGACATACTTTGCCTGAGAGGTTAAGGTACCATGAAGTTTAACTTACCAAAGACAGAAATGCTGTGTATTACTCAATAAATCCTGAGGAACAGGGAGGTACAAAAAATACCAACTTCACCTGCCTTCTGCAGCTCAAGACACACGGAGTGTGTACCAAGAGGAGAGGAGAGGCAACCATTTTTTACCTACAGCTTTGCCCCGCCTATCAGCGCAGAAATACAAACTAACTACAGGGCAAATTAATTACAATTGAGTCAAAATAAGACCTCAAATAAATTTTGTATCATAGAGATGAAGACAACTTAAGTGTTTTATAAAACAGTAAAACAGGGAAGTGGTAAAGATAGTTTATTCTCAGGGATGAAGTTGCCTCAACAGATCAGACTGGCCTTTTTTCAGCATGTTCTCAAAACTGACAGTAGCACTGGCAAATCGTTTTTAAAAAAAAAAAACCCAAACAAAACCAAAATATAACCATCAACAGTTGTTTAAAGCACAGGTTTTCCACAAGTAAAAAATGCAAGTTTATCTTCTAAAAATCAATTTGGTTTGTGTCAATACAAAATAGAACTGAGATTACTGCAGTGTTATACAAAACAAAGATTGTTTTTCACTTAATGTCCTGAGTCAGAGAAATAGCAAAGAAGCAAGCAATAAGGAAGTGACCAAATGATTCTTCTTGCATTAAAAAGGTACCTAATATTTTGATGTCATTAGATAACATGTACTGTGGTGTCTCGCTATTGCAAAACTGAAGCCTGCACTTACATCATATTTGTTTGGTAGTATAATTGATGACTCCCTCTGGCCAGCTTTTCTGTATCTAAAAGAATTCTAGTTGCCTTGTTAAAAATGTTGCATGAAAGGATGCAACAGAGCTGTTGCTGCAACACTGACAGTACTCACCTTTTTAATGTGTAAGCTATCAGATACATTCTGAATTTCTTTTTTTTTTTTTTTTTTGACACTTAACATAGCCAAGTATCTTTAGATTGATTACCTAAATTCTCAGAAGACATTCCTGACATTGAAAGAACCTGAACCATTTCAGGGAGCGTAAGTCTCACATAGCAAGACTGTCTCATTCTTGGAAAAAATCTTAATGGATATACTTTAAGGGTGATCTATTAATTTTATTTCCTCCCATACTGCAAAGCCTGTTTCAGAACTGAACAAACTTAGCGAAGCAAAGAAAATGTGAAGAATGAAAAACTGCCCCTAAAGCAGCCTTCTTCTGCTTTTAAAAACCATAGCTTTACATTTACAGGATAGTAATTAAAAATACTGCATTTGTTAACTCGATTTTTACAAGTTTAGGACACCAGGAACTTTCTACTAGCAAAACCAGCCACCCTATCTGCTTAGGGGGTTAACAGTAAATTACATGTTTGATCCACAAAATACAGGTAACTATTTTTTTTTAAAATACAGGTCACAAAATGATATTATGCTACATGGCACAAAATGTACCATGAAACCATAGAAATGGTTATGCTACAAGGCACAAAAAGTGCCTCCTAGTGTTTTTAAACTGAAAGTAACCCTGAAAACATTTAGCAATT